ATAAAATCAATGAGGATCGCTTTCACTGTGGTGTCAATGGACTCAGCAGAGGACAACACGAGCCTATATCTTAATTAGGAGAAATAATGCATATACAGGCACGTTGTATGCATTCAAACAATGACACAAACTGGAAACAGTAGCTGGCTGGAAAACGTGAAAATACAATTTAAATAGCAGCTAAATCTTCGGTGGATTTCTCAACTCAAATCTCTATTGAATGAGTATAGGTGAAACCCTCTATGAGCTGTTGCTATAGGGTTCATCACTGCAATCAAGTCGTAAATATTCTTTCCGTGCCCTTGTACCCTGCATAAGCCTCTCTTACGACCATAGTTTTGCTGCCAATTTAAAAACAAGTATTTGCTCAGCTGGAGCAGGTGCAATAAGAGGGGCCCACTGCTTTGAGAAGAACTACCTATGCTCATATATATATAAATATATCTACACGAGTTATATAGATACAAAAAGTAATGTCCCATTTAATATAGGCTTCAACCTCTAGAAAGTGTTGCTATTGGTTTATGGGAAAAGCTGATGTAGTCTGTGCCCCGCTGAAAAAAGCCACTATCCACAAGCAGACAATCTCGTTCACAAACAGGGGATGCCACGAGTAAATGACGCTAACGGGAACAGACCTTGTCATGGTTAACACGGCCTTGTGTGGAGGAGAAATATCTAACAGCGCTGCTATTGCAGAACAGCGCAGCCGTCAATTCCGTACACAATGTTCCTCATGCTGCCTCACTAATCAGAGATGATCTGATTAAAGGACTATTGTTGGAAATGTCGATGGCGAAACCGACGGGTACTCTTTTAGTCACGGCGGTTGCCATGGTTGCACACCTGTAGCTGCAGCTTGGAAAAGAAGCATGACACGCTTGCATGCTGGTGCCAACTGACTGACTCTTCTTCACTACGAGCCAAATTGCAAGGAATAGGATGAACTGGATGAAATGTATTCAGAAGAAATCGGCACCAACCGACTGTGACTGGCACATTCTTTCCCATCCAGAGAGGGATGCCAGTGCCGGTGCTGGCGGTGCTGGTGTTTGACACTTGGGCTATCACCACTGCAGCAGCCCGAGGGCCAGATGGGTGGTTGATAGCACTTTAAGGTCAATTTTTGTTACTCTAATGGGAAGCAATTATCTGAGTACGTTGGGCATGCAATGCTATTTGGAAATCATTCTCACTTAAAGAAAGACGATTTTTTCATACAGAAATTTAGATGTTGGTATTGTAATCCCTGTCCTGGATTCTCTCTCTCTCTCTCTCTCTCTCTCTCTCTCATCTTTAACCGCTTGAAGACCCCAAAGTACTTGAACTCCTTAGCTTGGGGTGAAGACACATTCCCCACCCGCTCTAGGCCATCCATCGGTTTCCTGTTGAGAACCGTGGCCTTAGATTAGAGGTGCTGATCCTCATCCCGACCGCTTCAGAACTCTGTTGCAAAACGTTGGAGGTGAGAGACCTATCGGCCATCAGGACCACATCATCTGCAAAAAGCAGCGATGAGATCCACAGCACCCCCGACTACACCTCGATATCCTATAATAAGGTGCAGCTCTGGCGAAGGCACCGGAAACAACTCTGATTTACTGCAGAGCACCCGAACGCAGCTCTCGTTTTGGGCGCACAGGGATTAGATAACCCCAAGATCGAGCCCCCTCTCCCCGTACTCCTGCAGGAACTCCCACATGATCTCATACGCCTTCTCCAGGTCCACAAAACCCGTGTAGACTGGGTGAGCATACTCCCAGGTCCCTCCATGATCCTTGAAAGCGGAAAGAGCCGTGATACCACGTTGTTCCGCTTCAATCCGTGGTTCGACTAGATTGGGAATGATAAGGACTGTAATACGTAATTCAAATTGGCTGAATTCATCATTCAAAACATTGAGTAAAGTTGACTTTTTTCAGTGCGTATCTTAAAAGGCAAACAGGCTATAAAGAAGGAGCGTTGCTTTTGCAATCCTTTGATTCTAGTATTTTAAGTGTGATGAGGAATAGTTACGGATAAGATAACATGATTAACTGATGAACCATACTTTCTTGTTCATATTTATAAATAGTGTGTTTTCATTTGTGATTTATCAGGAACAGATGCTTTCACAATCAAGACTAAATGACTGTAAATGTAATGCTATGTTTGGTGCCATTAGCTGGTGTTGATGGACTGTTACCTTTCTCCAATCACAAAACAGGCACAAGCAGCTGCTAATTGTACCCTAAACTGTCAGCGTTATTTTTCACACGGTGCGTTCATGCTACAGAGTAGATTCGCTATAGTGTTTTTTTTAATGCCACAAAACAATATAACTAAACTAATGATATTCTAATGCTTAACAGTTTCTACCATTTGTAGTAAATTGCGGCTTAAGTTAGAGGACTTCTGCTCATGCATTTTGTTTTTATTTTTGGAAAACCATAAAAAACCCTTTGAACTCTTTATAGGAAGTACTGCTCTCATTAAAGATGAGGGGCAGTGTGCCCAACTGTGGGTAAAAAGATATGATCGGAAGATCAATGTTGGTTTTCGGCTTAAAAAGGACTCAATTAAAACTTGCTAATAGTTTTGGCCATGAAGAGCTGAATAATTAGAAATGCCGTTGATCATGGTGCAGGTACTGCAGGTACTGTGTGAATAACAGCATGTGTCCTCCCGCTCTGAGGGTATTTTAACAAGGCGCTGAAGAAAGAAAAATGATAATGATGTGCCTGTCGCGATGCAGAGCTTTGTAACTTTGTCACGATGGCAGGTGACTGATGGTTTGGTGTCACCCATCGGCCAAACGATGAATTCTTTGCCTGATCATTCAAACAAACACACAAGCCCACACACATCTACACACACACACACACGACTAGTAATGTCTAAATCCGTCAACACAGGTTCAAGCACGTAAATCATATCCATGCTCACGTTTATACTCATTGTTCACACACAAGTCTGTCTTCCATTTGCAGTCGGAAAGCTTTGCAGTCCTTAAAGCAACCTTTAAAAACTATAAACTACTTTACTGTGAATGCAGCTTTGACATGTATGACCCAGATGCTGTAACTATTCTGGAAATATGTGAAATTTAGGCTAAATAAAAGTATTCACCAAGGATTTAATTATTTTAATGTTCACAGGTTTTATAAATAAATACTGCAGTGGCACATTAATCAGAAGTCCTTGTAAAACCTGCAGTGTGATACTCAAATCTTCATATTGAGGTTGTTGGTATTGATACGTAAGTACACTGGATACATACGTTTAAAATCTGTTTTCTTGATTTGTTTAGTATTATACTTTATTTCATAAATTCCTGTTGTTCTTTTAAAAAATCCTCTGATAAATCATGTTTTAGTGGCCAAGATGTTTTCATCAAGTGCAAAATCTTGATTCAAGGTATTTAATTGAATATATTTAGCTTTTACTATTTAGCAAGATTTCACTGTATGTGACACTGCATATACACTGTAAATATAATATGAATGAATTAACCTTTTCCTCAAAAATCTCTCTTCGAAAATAGAGATGTTGCAACAGTCCTCAACTAAGCAAGAATGAGGCAACTGTTTAAGTTAAAGGAAGAAAATCATCTGGTTTTACTTTTTTACTTTAATTTTGCATTCCACTCATTTTTTAATAAAAACACCCCAAAAAGTGGTTACATAAATGTCCCAGATTCAACCGGATTTATAAAAAGATTATAGACTTTTATTAGAACTCAACTTGTCCCTTGCTGTTGAAGATTATAATGAAATAAAAAGCCTTGACTTCCGTTTCTATTGAGGTCTTACAAATCAATGGACTCAAAAGGGGCATTTAAGTATGACCACAGATAAATTTCATTGAGGGTTCATTAAAATGTAACGCCGTGCTCTCCAATTCAACCGTCACTAATGAGTGATGATTTGAAGGGATGACAATGACAGACTGTGTATGGGCTCAATCCATACATTTCTATAATTCATAGATTTGCTCCACTGGCGAGAACTGACTTGCGATACGTCTCTGAAAGGTAAATCAATATTTCTTTTACAGAATGAATACAAAACTTCAGTGGATATCTTTTACATTTCCAATTATGATACACATTGCCTTTTAAAAACCTAAAAACAATGCACAAGTTAAAAATCCCCCCTTTTCTCAACACCCCATACATTTTTATATTTAACTAGATTCATGATTGTGTTGCAACAACAGGTTTTTGCCATTACTGTCAAGCAGACCGTCCCTTTGCGGCAAGAGATTTGCGTCTCCTCAAAAGAACAAGACACTAACTTTTTAACACATGTCATGAAGCTGTGAGACATCTCATTCAGCACATGGGGGCCTGTGTTGATCTGAGACTGCACGCTATCAGAAAGAACAAGCAGTGCGTCATCTGATGGTTTCTCAAATGACAGACCTGTCACGAAACAGCCAAAAGCTCAGAACAGCGTTCACTTGACACACCGTCTTCAGGGACGTCTGAAAAAAAATGTCACCCTGTTATAAAAAAAATAAATAAGAAAAAAAACAGTTAGCGTGGGTGTGAGGATGGGATATAACAAATAAAGCATTGGCCTACAAAAGTAGCACGCTCTATGTGGCTCCTTGGTATCCATTCAACAGGAGGGCTTACAGCATCCAGCTACTTACAGCCTCTGCAAAGTGCTATATTACTCACCGAGCTCAGCTGGAAACACTATAGAAAATATGTTTGCCTAGGATCTGCTCTCTTTTATCAATCCCAAGCAGCAGGGGCCGGGGCTCTGAGCGCTACGCAATGGTTCCGGCTACAGCAAACAACATTTCAGAAGGAACGGTTTCACAAATAAGATTTCAGTTTTGTCTCTGGTAAATCCTTTAAAGCGGAATCTAACGCACCCCATCCTGCTGAATTCCCACTGACACTATTCAAAGACACCGCCTTTGGAAAGAAAACACGCACACAGGCAGTAGGTCAGACAGGCACACGCAAATACAAAGACAAACGAGGAATCTTCAGAATCTTTAACTCTTACCGATGAAGAGGTTCCACTCGGCATCTAGGTCCGCCTGGTTCGCTAAGCAGCCCCTCATGACGTTGTGACAGTAGTTGTGGCAGGGTTTCAGTCCCGGCATGCTGCGACAGTACGGGCAGTACAGCATCTTGGTCAAAGCTCTGACGCATGCCGGGATTACATTCACCTAGGAAGCAAAGAGAAGTTCCTACAGTTAGGTTTTCCATGTGTCCCAAACATTGTGAGGTTTTCCAAAGGAAACCGAGCATCAGCAGCATCAATAGCAGGGATGTTATTCCCAATTGAAAGTTCTGCCGCTGTGAGAGTTGGACGCATTTCAACTTTTGACAAAGATTGCCACAGTACATCACGTCCTCCGAAGCCTGAAATGTGAAAACCCCACCAGATAAAAACTGTATGACAAGTCAATGTTTACAACTCCGTCCACCTCGATTCCTTGTGAGGGCTGCGCCGTGTGTTGTCGGGTCACGTCATTGCACTGGCTTGAGTGAAAGCGACAGGAATCTCACATCTGCTTCCCTTCAGAGGGTGGGGACGCAGAAGAAAGAGTACATCTGATAATTGGCCTGTCAGCCTCGGTATTCATGCTTGACTTTAGATTTTTTTTTTTGTTCAGAACACAATCCGCTAGAGTGTGTGTCTTTGTGTGTGTGTGTGGGGAAAAGTGAAAGAGGAGCGGTAGTCATAGGATGGATACAATAGGACACCAAATTCTACTTAAGGGTTACTCATCATTTGAGTAATTGGAAGTCAATTAAAAACATGAATTAGGTCTAATTTTAGAGAAGTAATGTCCAATTGATCAGCGTTATATATATTTTGTAGTCAGTAAATTAACCAATTTTCCCCGAAGAGGTTCACATTCATTTTTACACTCCAATTGAACCTTTTAGGAACCTCTCTATTAATGTAATGGTTGAAATGTCCGATGGAAATGGGAAGATCCCAAAAGATTGATATTTTTCTGGTCGGTTTAATGGTTATTTGTTTTTGGTTGAACTATTTTAACATGGCAGCCAGGTTAATGTTTTTTTGGCTAAACAGTACATTAAACGTGATTTAGAAAACATTTGAGGCAAGAAACAGATAATGCCGTGACAGGTTCTTGATCCATACTTGATCAGCACTGGACTAGCTTGACAGTTTGATTAAGTTTCAAGAGCTCGGTGGGGCCTCATTTGCATGAAGTTGAGGTTGAGCAAAGCCGAAATCGATGATGCAACATGCAGCTGGATCCATCAACTTTTTGCAGTGCAATGGCAAAGTGAGGTAGATGGACCAGTGCAAAAAAGAATAAAGGTGTAGACCACTTGCACAGTTTACATAAAACTATAAATAACCTATACCTATATATATATTTCTTGTATATATATATTTCTTATATATTTCTTCAGTCATATTTTCTTTTTTTTATTTATCTTTTTCTAACAATAATAATGTTGGAAGAAATAAAAAAGCGAGACAGAGACAAATAAAAGACCAGGCCTGGTGATATAATCACAGCTGAAGATAAAAGTGATATACTGTGAACCTGAAGTGCACCTTGGTAGCTCCATGGCGACACTTGTGACGTGACTTTAGTTCAACGCTGCAGAGTGCCTTTGATTTTAGTGGTACGAAGGCCAGACCACCTCTGAGTGCATATGTGAGATAAGAGAAGATGAGAAGGAGGCTTAGAGAGGTACATTAATAATGTATTTCTATTGTTGCTCAGCACAAGGACCAAATTAACCATTTTCATAATTTGCAATCTGCCTTCCCTTTCAAACATTTAAGTGGGTTTATTACAATTATTTTAAAAATGCAGGAATCAGTTATAGAAGCTTAGTTTGGATAGGTTTTTGCCAATTTATATATTAACACATTATTAATATATCCACTAAAGTGGTAATAGGTGTTTGTTATCAGCCATCATGGACCCTTCACACTCATTTAAAGAACAATATGAACTAGGTTTTACTTCATACAACTTTTAATTAACAGGCATCGAGCAGGGGGACCCGAAAATAAAAAACGAAAACAGCAAAGAAACAGGTACAGAATAAAGATATAGATTGAGAAAAAACAGGTAGAAGACAAGCAGACAAACAGGGAACGGGCAGGTGGCAGGAAACACGAGGGAGAAACAGAACCAAGCGCACGCCAATCACTGTGTTTGCTTTGGAGAGAGCTGTCTCTCAATTCGAGAACTACATTTTATTAGATTCTTTACTGATGTATTTTGTTAAAATATATGTTATATTATCAGATTAATAAAGTAGACAACTGACTATCAGGTGCTTTCATTAATTAATTGATTAACATTAATTGATTAACTGATTTACAGCCGACATGCAGCTTAAAATATCAGTGTGGTCATTCTGTGCTTTTAGTAAATCATTCTGTTTGACTGAATTAATATCACACACAAAGAGTTCAATTTGACTGGAATTGACCAGTCTACTATAAATGTCCACATGTGCATCTCCAGCAATCTTTCTTCTTTTTTCTTTCCCTCTCTACTTTCAACAACTCAAGCCTCACAGATTAAATATAACATTTTCCTATCAAGCTATGTAAATGCTATAAATATATTTGTTATAGTGACAGACGAAAAAGAGCTTCGTTGCTCGTCCTGTTTAGTTTTTCACTGCCGGCTCAGTTCAACAAAGTCACTGCACCAGGGCGAGGACATTAAATCCAGTTCAAACCGTGATTATTAAACCAAAACTAGCTGACAAGATGACTTTAGAATACATTCCCTCCATACATTCAACGTCCAACTGCTGTATTGTAAGTAAGAGCAGCAATACAGAAGATGAATATATAATAATATAGCTGGCCTAAAGCACATCATGGTATCATCATCCTATAACCACTGCAAATGTAATTCTGAACATTAAAATAGCATTATGTTTATTTCTCTCTTTCTTCCTCTCTCTTAAGAATACAATCATAAGAATATGACAAAAAGAATAAAGTAAAGATTAATCCGTCTATTTAATTAAACGTGGCGTATGAACAGCCAATTTGAGAGACAAGGAGAAAATTATTTTCTTTTTCTTAAGGATAGACCCGCTCTGACTGCAGTCTTCATATTCAGTAGAACTTTTTAATGGCAACCAAAGAAGTATATTTCATTCTACAAATACAGTAAATGTTTTGATCTACTCATGAACTGTATGGCCCTTGAGAACATGTGCGTTAAGATGGTGTCTATTAACGCAATTGTCTTGCAGGCGTACTCTGACATCATTGCAGTTCCTGTGCCCGGCAGTCGCCGTCGGCCCTCGATGAAGGGTAATCTGATAATCTTGTTAGCACTTATTTACAGTTGAGTGGATGGAACATTTTACAGCAGGCTGAGTGTAGAATGCCGCAGATCCAGAGATTAAAAATCTAAGTTACTCATCCGATGTTTAAGTGCTATGATAATACCACGCTGAGAGCAATGTTTGAGTGTGTGTCAGTGTGTAGAGGAAGTAATTATATCCTTTTTCTAAGTAAAATGAATAATGCACAGAAAAACTCATTTTGAATTAAAGTCTGAGAGATGTAGTGAACTTGCAGATACATTTTTTTTCATCCAATTAAAGGCCACAATAAAAACCTTCTACTGTCACCTGAATTCCCAGCAATAAGACGTATTCAAGATAGCTAAATAATTAGAATGAAGGACAAGGCTCACTCTCATTATGAGATTTAAACCTTGAAAAACATCCCCTTGCCTATCCGACAGGGTGTTGTCATGCACATATGGCGTGAACTCCCTTTAGGAGGAACAGATTGGGAAGAGCACAGAAGATGGAAATTGCTTTGTGCCACAATGTAATGAAGTTGTGAGAAATGACAATGACTTTGCAAGCTACCAAGGCCAATCAAGGGGAACACTAGTGGGACAGCCAAAAAATTTTTCTCAATAGTTCCGTCATAATTATTGTGACAAGCTGTGCTGCTTTTCACTGATTGGACATGGATGTAAGACTGCATTGGTGCCCCAGTGTCCCCACTCAATTCCACAGCCATTAGTGTCAACGGCAATATGAGTTATCTGTCACTGTGCAAGCCAGACTAGCATCTGCTTCCTAGAGAAACATGTGCCTGGTCTTGCCAAACATCTGTGTAAAAACTTCCCTTAGATCATTACAATATCATCTATATTTAAGCAATAAAAAGCAATATCATTACAATACGCTCACATAAGGTAACCTCCACATACTGCACATAAGCTAGTGCTTCTTATGGATACTGATAGTGCCTAAACGTAGTTTCTGAGGTCACAATCACCTTAATATAGTTAGTTCAACCTTGAGTTTGTGGACATTAGTGGGACATTTGTATATCAGACGTACACAGGCACAAGAAATGTCCGACATTGAGTCGCTTCACAACGTCAAATACAAGATTTCAACCACTTTTTGTTGATGATTAACTCTCTTACTGGACTTTACCAATGCCTGCTGAGGGTACTAAACCCTCCAGCATGTGTACAGCGCACTCTGGTTTGCAGCTGAGTGTGATTACGTATCCTTTCTGTGCATCTCTGTGAACTTTAGTTCTGCCACACTCATCATGTTAAATGTAAGATGGAGCCAAAGACAATTCCAGAGAGGCTGCACTAAAATCACTCGCTGTCAAATCAATGAATGTCTGAGGCTGACAGAATAATCCACATGTGAGCAGCTGTGCCTCCACAGAACAACACAGCAGTAATGTGTGATGCACCCTGACATGCACCATGTTATGCGGCATGTCTCTTGCAGCAGTTAAGGCTGTTTCTTTAATTTACCAAGACATGTGTAAATGTGTTAAAAGTCAGCCTTTGCTGCTCAATGACCAGGTACACCATACAGTGAACCATTCAGCATCTCTGGTGGATACAAAATCATACATACACTTTTTTCTGCTACGGAACCTCCTGGACTAAAGCAGAACACTCACACACCCGGCGTCCGTCAGACTGAAGGTCTGCATTCGGGCCTGAATGTCAGGGGTAAACAAGTCTCACGTGGCTGCCAAGAAACCTCTGAGCAAATGTCACAACATCGGTGCTGACAACCCTTTCTAAGTGCTTGTTAAATAAAGATGTGGTGACATACACTTTAATTTAAGGTGCAAAAAGTAGTCATAAGATGTGATGTGGGTTGACAAAGTCAACTGATGAGACTGATATTTTTCAGAACGGGT